CGAAATAGACGCCCAAATCCTTGAAAGCTTCACACCTTTCCAATACAGAATCATCTATTTTGTATGGGTGAAGGTCAAAATGCGGCATTTAGAATTGTTCAAATACAAATTGTTATTAACACACCATGTTTGTAAAAAAACTAGTTGTTGTTGGAGGTTTTCACAATCCTGCCAGCTAGAAACACATGCTTCAGATCATGAGCAAACATAAGCTTCTTGCATGATAATGTGCTGCAAAGATCGTTAACGTATAAGGCAAACAATAGGGGGCCCAAATTAGAACCCTGAGGTACACCACTACTTGGCATATATTTATAAGAACTAAATCCATTATAGAATACATATTGAGTTCTCAAGTCTAGATAAGACTTGAGAAGATCCACATAAGTTCTGTTGAATCCCATTTATTCAATTTTTTGTACAAGTAGTTGATGGTCAATTTTGTCAAATGCTTTTGTGAAATCAGTACATATGACATCCATTTGGCCCCTATTGTCTACCGTCTCGCATAGATATTGACCGAACGTGGTCAAATTCGTAATAGTGGATCTCTGCTTCTTAAAGCCATGTTGGTGCACTGATAGATGGTCTTTAGTTGCCAAGTAAATTCTGGAATACAATATTATTTCAAAGAGCTTTGCAAAATTATTCAGTATAGTGATCGCCCTGTAATTATTTACTAAGGTTCTGTCTTGCGACTTGAAAATTGGGCAGACTTTGGCAATCTTCCACTTATCAGGAAAACCGACGAACGTAGAATTGAATTAAAAATTGTCAACAAAGGAGTTGAGAAGAGGTTTACACAGTTTTTAATGAAAAACGATGGAAGTTGATCTGGCCCTAATGTAAATTTGTATTTGAGTTTCTTTGCAGCATCTAATATCTCTTTTTCACTTATTGACCCGCATGTTATATTAATAAGAATATCATTGTTACAATTGTTGTCTCATCACTTATAACACGATCACCCGGTGGAGAGTAGACACTCTGAAAAAAGTCAGCAAAAGCATTGACTATTGATACGGGGTCATTACAGGAGTTATTTTGGTAGAACATTTTATTAGGAATTCTAGATGTGTGCATGAATGACCAAAAAGATTTAGGTTCAATAATAAGCTGGCTTTGCAGTATTTGAATGTAAGTTATATGAGCCTGCTTAATTTTTTGTTTAAATGTGGCCCTAAGCCTATTGAATTCCTGATAATATGCGATGTTATTAGTAGCCTTGAATCTTTTATGATATTTGGCCGTTTCTATTACTGAGATATGCCAGAAATTGTTTTATTATTTTTGTGAAGATATGAGGGGCACAATTTACCCTAAACGGTACAGCTTTGTATTGTAAGAGCTGTCCTTCCAATATGAATCTGAAATATATGACTCTCCCTGACTGGCATCAAGATCTCTGCATATTCCAAATCCAGATTCGTTAAGAAAGTATCTGTACGGAGAAGTCTGAATCCAGTTCAATAGCCTAGACTTAAGTGTTATATCCCTATAAACAGACAAAGTGTCTTGAGATAAGGAATCAAACGTGTTGACCCATCAAACTTCGGGGCAAGGAAAAGTTGGATAATTGCTGATTTTTAGTTAGCTCAACTTTTTTACCGATAGCACCGCAGCTAAGTAATTGAGAGACTGCCGAAGGTCGGTAGTTCATAGATGAATTAATGAGGTTCAGCTATGGCAAAGTGCTGAACCAGTCGCCATGTGAATGCCAAGTGACCATTTGAGTCCAACTCGAGACTTTAGTGCTACTCTCTAAAGCTCTGTCATTGATGATGAATACGCGTCAATGTCCCTGCTGATTTACATATCTCATCTGCAATAACGGGTAATATCTGATGTTGTCAGTACGTTATCTGGCCTTTTGGCCTTCAGTTGCTGCTTATATTTATCTGATTTCTATTTAGATGTAACTTACTTGGTCAGAACTTTTTTTTTATACTCCAACTATCACGAAGGCCTAAGGCCTAAACACCCATTGGGTACCGTGGGGCTATAGGGGGATACAGGGGAAAGGGGGGGAAACTACACCGAAGAACAAGATATCAATGGAAACCTCTATCAGAGTACTCCTGAGTTCTTTGCTTTAATGTGTTTATCTTCCAGCATGCGCTCCTCTCCCTTATTTGAACCTGGAGGATAGAGTATTGCCACGTGCAGTTAAAGAACAGCTCACATGTTGCTGTACACAGACCAAGCACGCATACCTACGTGCGACAATTTCTATTACGGCTTCCGCTACCTCCCCTGGCGCACCTTCAAAATGTCAGCCTTGGAACAACGCGCGAACATTAATTATACTAAGGCCGCCGCATCAGCAGGGTGATGAGTCATCTATTGAAACAGACTACATGGCCTTTAAGACAACACAATCCAGAGCGCCCTGCTGTTCGAGTGCCACCTATGCAAAATGTAACGTTAATCGGGCATAATGATATTTAACCTCCGTTATTACTGAACATTAGAATTTTGGTGGTTTCCTAACCGGTCATGTTCATACGTACAGTCCTGTTCCATAGTTATCACCAGCCAGGTGGAATTTTCTATCACAAGCAAAATCTAACGCTAGCCTACTATAGACGTACCTAATTTCTATATGTTGTTAATGAAAAATAGTACTTTAGCTGTTTTGTAACCTGTCATGTGCATATTATTGACCTATTCGAAGGCTATTCCAAACCATATGGAATTTGCTATCACAAGCAAAATGTAAATGTCCTAGGTATGGAGTTCTCTATCACAAGCTAGGTCCAGGTTGCTATCCCAAGCAACAGTGTCAGAACGTTATCCCAAACGTCATGTTAGGCACAGTCTGCAGCGCCGGTGAGGCATCCATACTAATATTCATTTAACTTGCACCTAAAACACATCGGTTAGTCGACAGTTACCTGACGGTGACGTCCCTTCAGAAAAAGAGGCCTGCACGCCACTTTCTAATTTTGCTCCACGACTAAAAGAACCTTGAGGCGACCGTCGTTCGGTGTCTCGTTCGACAATGCACATCTATCGGCCAACCTTCTGTCCCTTTCTCTAATTTTAAATGTTCAGCGGTTCCTCGACACTGCTGAAAATGTAGAAAAGACGCGCGCCGATTGACGTCTTAACGGTTTGGCACGAGAACAAGGAATGAATGTTTATAGGTGACCAGAGGGGAGGAAGGTAGGGGGAAGGGGCGCGGTGCCGCTTTCCTTCGCTGTGTGCGCTTTGAAATCGTGGAGGTTTGGTACAACTATTAGGGTACTACTATAATTAAAAATCGGAAAGGTAGATCTCCGAACTACGTAACCACTGCACACAAAAATTATCGTGGCTCAAACTACACTAATGCAGCGGCGTAGACCAGGATATTTCATCCCTTAGGAGATTGTAAGTATGTACATCCATTTTCAGCAAAATAATATGTTCCCGAGTTCCTTAATAAGATTGAATATTTCATCTCAAAGCAAACTTTGTCCTTGAAGATGAGACAGAGACAGATGAGATAGAAACTGTGTACCTCATCTGCTAGAGTAGATTTCAGATCTTGCAAATGGTCATATTTCTTGTTTGATGTTTTTAATCTATCTGTAAACAGTCTTTGATCAAAGAGGTGTATCAAACATGGCTTCTTTAAAATTCCTTGAGGTAGGTCGGTGAGCTCATCTTGAAACTGCAGCTTGATTTGAATTTTGCATTCTGGTTGGTAGTGGATCTCTCTTAAATTAGTTAATGTTGGGCCATATGCTTTTTTCCTGGTCTGATACTATGACATACCATTTGGTCTATATATCATAATTTCTGAAATCCAAATGGTTCATGTATTTAACTTCATACGGTTCTGGTTTTAATCGCGCTTCTCTTATTACTTTCACGTAGTCCGTGAGTAGCTCAATTTCTCGATTGTATCTAAGTATTTTTGATCTACCCGATTTTTATTTACAACTGCATACTGAAGTAGTGTGTTTGACAATACCGCATTACGGTTCTGATAAGGACATATGTTGCTCTATAGGACAATGGGTAAATCATTTTTGCAGAGTTTGTCTAAATGATCAATTATCATAGTTGTAAATACAGATGATGATAAATCGCCTTCTATTTCATTCCACCAGTAGTTGGTGCAGTGATGTGTTTTTAATTTATAAATTGTAAAGTTATGAACTTTCAAGCGAGTTTTGAAGAAAAACTTATTCGCGTTATTCACTGGACACGATTTTGACTGCCTGTATATCCGTAACAAAGGCCAAACACTTTCCCTGTTGAGCGTTTTCTTTATCCACTAATTTTTCATACCTAGCTTGGTCTTTCAGATTTATGTGCATAGTGTACTCAGATTCTGGAATGTTGCCAACCTTATGTGCCACACAAATATTGCACTGATCTTTCTTCTGACTGAACAGAGCCAAATTATTATTTTCTAAGGTTTCTTCGCATTTTTGCACATGAGCTCTATATAAGCTGGCTTTGGAGGTAAAATTATTTTCTAAATACGTTTTAGAAGACCTCTGCCCTCTGCTTACAATAATGGCATTTTTGGCAGTTCCGTGGGGAAATTACAAAGATATTTCATTTCTTTATTTTTGATTTCTCGATCTTAAAGCTTTCCGCTCTTTCAAAACTAGCTCATGGGAAGTATACATGCCACTTTGACTCTTGGAGCACCAGCTGAGTGCCATCCATTCTTTGATTCCCAGAGTTGATAAAAACATGTTCTTGCAAACTTGCTTTTTATCATTACCAACCCTTAAAAATACACATAACTGAAGCTACTTCGTGACTCGTTCACATATTTCCTTCCTGTTTCTCTCTTTTCCATCAAACCTGTTACATATATCTTCTTTTGCTCCCAAGTCATATCGGTACAAAACCGACAAGCGCTCCTCATGAGTTATAGTATTACAGTTTCTGTTTTTGTATCTCAAGCACTTCATGGAAGAGCAGGCTGGACCTAAACTTCTGCATTGTCTTTCGCTATTCTGTAGTACTTGACCTTGCCTTGCATTCTGTCATCCGTATCAGCATCCTTTGGGATAGACTGGTACTTTCATTTCTCCTTCCAAAAGTTCACTTGATGTTTGCAGGTTTTCCGAAGTGCCATTCAAATCTGAGTCAGCATAACGTAGTTGGATAACGTTGTTCTCACCTGAAGCTACAGTTGGTAAGACTGTACTTCCAACCGCATGCTTAGATGGTGACACAGGATCAGCATTATGTACCAATGCTTCTATGATATCTACATTCATATCATAGTAGCTCAACGTCAGTGGGAGAACAGGGTCAGCTTCAGAAATCCATTTCGAAAGTCCGTCATTAGTCACATTTTCAATAATAACATCTTCATTTGTAAAAATGATTGAATGTGAAAGCGCTTCTTCTAAAACCTGGCTATTTTTATCCGTTTCCAAAGCAGCGGCCAGAATTCTTTTACATCTGCTTGACATCTATAATAGAACAAAGATATCTGATACTAACGGCTGGATGAGGTTCCTATAAATTCCGTACAGTTGTCGTTAATTTAGAACTGCATATGTTGGCAATTTACTTGAACTAGAACTAAGCATTTTGACAACAGCACTCAGTAGGACATACATTTCAAAGATTAATTTTATAAATTAGCAAATACGAAACAAAAACATTTTAATGTTTCGCCGATTCCTTAACTAAATGCTTGGAATAATGATAAACAATAACTCGTATCATCCAACTACAAAAAAAAGTACAATTTGGGCATAATTTGAGATAAACACGTGTCATCAAGTTTGAATAAAAACGGCTTGTCTATTCAAAGTATTGCTTAATTACTCAAACAAGACTAATAAATGACATGTTCAGTATATTAACGCCAATATATATTACTCTAATTATAATAATTATCAACGTACCTTTGCTAAAATGAGCTTATTCCTCTAACTTGTCGCAGAGTGATGCGCACTTCATAAGGGCCACGTGCAAACTGCTGTTCATACGAGGTATTTTACTAACTTAGTGGATGATGTTACGCGGTATTCTTTGAAGCTTAAATAGCTCGTTTCTTATTGGTTGAACTAATACGTGGTTTTTACAGACGGTGTGCAATACTGGTTACGTTTTATTGATGGTAGAATCTCAATTTCGGCAAATTTGATTATACCTGGTGTTACAATTAGGGTGAGCCACGTGACCAAACGGCACCTGACCACTCACTCCGCGTACAACTTGGGCCAGTAGCAGGACATGAAGGGTTACGGAACAATAACAAATAAAAAAGTAAAGATTTTCAAGTAAACTCCTTATTTGTCATTTGTTATCTTGTTCAACAGCAAAAAAGTCTCGAACACAACATTCTTTGTTGTGTCAAATGAAAAAAGTCGATTGCGAGATTCAATAAGGCACTCTGAGTTTCGTGCGACATTTCAGATATCTCGCATCCTTGTCCATTCGACATTCGAAAACACTCCGTTAAGGAGCGACACTTCTGGGAGTGTTCAGAAATTACCGATATGCATATTAATATAAACGTTTTTTGCTATTTTGGGATGTACTTTCTGCTCTGGGAATATTTGTCATGCTTTTTAAACCCCATCATCATTATCATTTTATCACCTACGAACAAATCGCAGCCATGAACTATGACAATATCTTTTTTTTAGGTTTGATGAAACCACACAAAAATTCATGACCTACCAGATAATCCAACTAGCAACGCCAATTCAGGTTTCATTCAGTGTCTTACCGTCTGAAGAGTTAGTTTTATATGTTGTAACAGAAAATACTGGACCTGAAGCATTCAACGTGTACATTTACAGAGGACTATTTGGTTTCCACAAAAAAGTCAAGCAGTCCGTAGTGTCTCCTATATTAGGAATAGACCAATTTTCTATCAAGAATAAGCATTTTGTTGTAGCTAAATATAAGGATATGTTGGGGATCCTTGAAGCCGTTTTCAAGGGGCATATAAGAAGATAGAGGTGCAGTTGTTTTTTGTTACTTAGTTTATTGTTTATTATTGTATTTGTTGGATATTAATATATTATATATTTGTTTTCTATGCTATGAGTTCTCTCTTTGGACCTCAGATTCATAAGGCCTACTCACACATAGATGCACAAAAATAAACTAAGAGTAGGTACGTATATGCAAAAAATCCTCCACTGGCACTGCAATACTCTCACAATTTACCATACTTTAATGCTTACGATACCTTAGAACCCGCGCAGACAGAAGGCGGTCAGGCGTTCCGAGTTTGGAGTTCAGCGTTCTGCGTTCTTTGTGATATGTACTTCCTCAAGTAACAATACGCACTTCCGGTAGTCAGATCGAAGCGGTCATTTAAAGGAAGTACATACTCGTATTACAAAGGACGCAGAACTCGGAACGTCTGACCGCCTCCTGCCTGCGCGGGCTCTACTTCAACATCGATGTGTTTATTCATTGGCTTTCTTCCAGTTTGCCTTTTTCCAACAGATGTTTTCTACATTTCAAGCAGCGACTGATTCAAGGATGTTGTCAAGCGATAGTTCCATTCCATCTCCAAAAATGACCAAAAGAAATCTAAGCTCGGTAACGCAGGTAAAAATAAGCACTGCGACGTGAACTGCAGTGCTGAATGAAAAATTATACATACATAGAATACAATGTAGTCTAAATAGATAGGAAAGATATCTAGATTTTCTGAAAAAGGAGTATATGAGGATCCTACAACGCAATTACATCGTTGGGAGTAAAAGAGGGAAAGACTTATCTAGAAAATTTTGATGGATAAGCCCTTTTATTAAATTTTACACTTACCCGAATAGTCTAATCATATTAGTGAATTTCCCCGAAATAATTGTAAGGTCTGGTTTTATTGATGCAAGTTGTTCCAGGGTGTATTTAAATCATGGACGCATAAAATGGGTACACTAGTTTTTGTGGTAAAACTTTTTATTCGACAACAAAGAATAAGAGAACGTGTTTTTTGGTATTCAATCGAAAGTGTTGGCAGGAAGCAAAACACTCTTTTGATTTTAGGTTATTTATTAGACCTACAGAATGAGAACACAAGTAAAAATACCCGACTGATAGTTGTAAAGTTATGGCCGAAAACCGAGGTAACATGCAGGTTTTAGCACTTGCTGCTAATACGACGATAATTTCACGCAGCTACTCGAAATTCTTCAAATCCGTAGGCTTCATACTTATGAGTAACCACAACAAAATTGGAGTCGATTGGTAAAGTAGTTTTAGAGAATGTCTTGTTTATCCCAAAACACCTGTCTTCCGGCGATCGCTACTAGTTTACTGAGCAATTTACAGGGTTCATTCAAGGGGCATTTTATAGCTTAATACACGAGTTTACCTTGCCGACATAAATAACAAATCATTCCGAGAGTTAATTGTTGTTTTTATGCGAAAAACGAAGAGTTTTTCTTCTAAACAAATTAAAACATTCCGTATTTGTTTGTAATTGAACAGATTCGCTGCGACATTCTAAAAACATACGTTATTATACACATTTTAAAACAAAGCGTGTCCCACCTTTTGTTGCGAAAAAAACAATTGTTTTCAAGATTTCTTCAAACTCTTGTGAATACATATTTAGAGCTGAAATTATTACACGGTCACAGATGATACCTAGAGTTTATATAAAAGACTTTGTCAAATAAGTAGGACACGTAATCCAGTTTCTTTACGAAGAAATTTAATTCCCTTGACCTTCTTTCTCAAAGTGTTAATGTAGTATATGTCTGTTTTCGAATTCTCGTACGATCAAGACGACTGCGACGAGTTCAAAATATTGGAAAATAAAATCGAGAGTGGTATAAAGATACAGTAAGCTAAGAGGCCTGGTAGCGTAATGGGAAAGAGGGGCGATTTCCCTGCCTGCCTATGTGATGTAGAAAGCAATATAGTCCAATACCCCGAATATTTAAACTCTTTAGAAACGCATAACGGACAAATTCAACCTACCGCCCTTACTCTATCAAAGAACTCAACTTTCATAATTATTGAAAAAATATTGCAAGCCAAACACAATCTACGGTCTATTTTTTCTAAAAGTATTAATATATGCAATATACGTATGTTTCCGAAATCTCGTACGATTAAAAGTTCCAAATATTGGAAAATAAACTCGAGAAGACGAAAAAACAGTAGACAAATATCAACCAATCGTACCGAACTGACCGACTTCAAAATTAGGCAAAATTCTCGGAATTAATCCCTAATACATTATTTAAAATTTCAGTATTGTATAGTTTTCAAGACTATTGTCATTGTTTATAATAGATTTGATGCCTCCAACGTTCGCTTGACATTTGTCCGTGTCAAGTGTGGTGGTATAAAGATCCAGATAAGGTGGGTATTGACCAACGATACGAGGCGTAATGTAACATGTTACACAGCGAGCATTCATGCAGTCAGTACGTAGTGTTACGGGAAAACCAGCGAGCAACGAGCCGCCCGTTGCTCGCTTTGAGTGCTCCTCCCAGCTGTCGGTTTTTCGGCGAATCCTTTGAGTGTTACGCGGTTCGGTCAGTTTGCTGCAACAAGTCGTGACGAGCGCACCAGAGGAGCGCACGCGCACACGTTGTTCATTTCGTTTATTTGTTCGTTTATTATTAGGAATATGGAGTGGAATAAAGAAAAAACTCTGCATTTCATCTAAAAATATAGAGAAGAATCGGTATTGTGGAATCCAGCTCATCCAGAGCACTACAACAAATTAAAAAAAGAAGACGCCTGGGATTGATTGGCTTTGTTAATGGACAGCAAAAGAAATACGTGTACAATGAAAATGACAAGCTTACTGGCGTCATTGAGGAGGCAAAAACGGAAAATAAAAAGATCAAGTGGTACAGGAAAGGGTACATAGGTAATTATTTTTATATTTTTTAAGTTCCTATAATACAGTACGATTAGCCCCCAAATACTCAACCACATTTTAAAGTTAAGTTGTATGTCAAATTATGCTGCCACGTGTCAGATTCAAAGACAAAACGAGGGCAGCATTAGTTTAAGAACAACATAAATAAAATAAATATAGGTATGTTTTATATTCCAAAAATACTTTATTTTCAGGTGCTGAAGAAGTATACCATAGTACTTGGTTTGCATACAAAACTATGATGTTTCTACTGGATAGAAATACATCTGTTGCCACAACAGATACGGTAAGTTTTTATTTTAAGCATAATTTTCTTGCCAGCTGACAGACCCTTCTTGGATGCAATATTCAGCAACTTCATTACGAATATTGTGAGCAGTTCTTGAAGCGCTTCGCGGTCTCATTTCCAAGAGTAACATACTCGCCATATCATTGTTTCCTAATCTGACTATCCCATTTGTCCAAGCTACCCGCAGGGGTATATACAACTGAAATATCTTTCTTCAACGAAAACGTTTTTAAAAAGATTTATTTTTGAGAATAACCAAATACAATGATGTTAATTGAATGAGTTCTGAATCGAGACTGACTGCAAAGTTCATTATACAAACCAAAGTAAAGAACAAATGAAATACAATACTGTAACTGATAAGAAAGGAACGTGGAGGCTAAAGTCCTTGTTCAGCATATTCTTCTCTGTAGACTGGTACATAACTCCTCCACCCCTAGAATGAAGCTTCCCCTGGAAGGTGAATTTCTTTCTTCTTATATCTTGAACTGGAATCTTCTCTTCTAGTGCGTTTTGTGGGACTTGGACCTTCTTCTTTCATCTCGGCTAATTCAATGTCGATTTCTAACTTGGATGCCTCCTTGTTTCTCCATCTTCTATATAAAATTATGCAGCAGATGCTTGAAAATACGAGATATAGTAATATGGTCCAAATACTGGGTTTTCCAAAATTTTCTATGGAATTTTCTTCTAAAATTGGTAACATTCGATTAACTTGTAATTCTGGTAAATTTAACGTTTTCAGAGTAATTTGTATCTCTGGGATATTTTGTTTCATAAAATGGAAATCCATTTTGTCAGCTACGAGGGGCTTTCCATAGGTTTTGTCTTGAAAGATAATTTCATTGTCTTGGAATGATATTTGGCATTCACTGGCTTTGACTAAGAAAATGCCAAGTAATGACTTTGTATCGATTTGCTCCTTGCATTTAATTTTGAATTTTTCTTCGGTGAGAAATACGGCTAAATACTGGTTAATTTCGGGAATAAATTCGATGTGATTTTCTTCAATCTGAAGCTTCGTGTATCTACATGGTTCTGTATGATCTTCTGTAATTATTGACTTCTCGCATTGGGCTTTGTGATTGGCTAGTATACGATTAGGGCATTGATAGATTCTACCTTGGGTACAAATCTCGTGCAGGGGTTTGATCTCATTTCGATCAGATTTTAGCAAATACTTATAATTTGGGATAATAGTGACGAATTCTGATTTGTGCATCAGAGTCGGTATAGGTAACATATAATAAAGATCGAAATGTTCAGGATAATCTATAGGAATAGATAGAAAGTAACTTATTTGATTCTCATCGATTTTACAACTGATAGAAATAATAGATTCATAATCTAGCATATTTTCATACTTTACTTCAAATGGTAATTCATTTTTATAAAATGTGGATATCTTACGGAGTTCTTGAAATAATTCTCTAGTCCTTATTATACTGGGATGCATGGTTTTCAATTTGCAAAAAGTTATCGAATTTTCGATATCTTGTAAAATATTCAATATGGCATTATAAGGGATAATTAATTGATTGATAATGTCCTTCGCTGAAAGAATATCCTGGTTTGTTGTCTGGTTCAATAAAATATGTTTCAATTGTAAAATGTTATTTCTTAATGTCATCTCATTGTGCTGAAGATCTTGAATAGTCCCGTTAAATTTTGCGACAAGTTCTTTGTTTACTGAATATTGCATTCTCAGCTGATTTTGAATATGGTGCTGATTTTCTTGTAAATGAGATAAAATTTTATCAATACGTTCTCCATCATCGGAGTCTAAATTTCCTGTTATTGTTTTTACTACATAGCCTAAGCCATTAAAAAGTCCTCTCTTATTGCGAGTCTTTTGAGAATGAGATTTAATGTATTCGATTTTCTCTTGAATCAA